ACGTTGCTCTTCGCCAGCTAATAAAATGGAATGTCGGAAAAAATATATTTAATTTAAGAAGTTTCTTGTCAAATCGAACATTCAGAGTTAAAATTAATAATAAATATTCTGACAAAGTCCCTTTACCAAATGGTATTGTTCAAGGTTCCCCTATATCGGTAATGTTTTTAATTAATGCTTTCGACGAAGTAAGCAAAATTATAGCTAATTATAGAGTAGAACATGCTATTTATGCAGATGATGTTTTAATATTTTCAAAAAATAATAACCTGAACCAGGTTAAAGATACTTTTTCTAACATCCTTAACGATATCTCAGAATGGGCTTATAGCTCCGGAGCGAATATATCTTATGAACAAGTAAGGAAGGGCTCTGTTCGGAGTAACCGAACATTTTATACTCTCGCAAAGTCAAATGGTATACTCGTTTGAGATTTCTTTGTGGATTGACTGATATTTTCGGTAGAAGGTCAAGTATAGGCACTGGGGTCCACATATTTAGTACTTAGGGGCTTGAACAGTTTTGGTTCGATTTAGACAGATTTGGGTCACAAGGTGGCATACTTTAAACGTATTATTCAAGGAAAGTTTTACCCCGATATAGTCATTGTTGCTTGATATGCATAGTGGAAAGTGAAAGAATCAGATGGAATTGAAAATGGTGTTATATGGGAAATAGGCCTGGTTGTAGTCCGATTTCGCCCATTTTCGCACTATATCATAGTGATTAAACTATGCCACAATAATAGCACTCACCAACGACTTTTTTATTTTCTTGTTTTATTATTGAACACGTTTTTTAAAAGTTCAATTTAAATTAAATTTTTTTTATTTTTTTTTTTTGTGTTCACAACTTTTTCCTAAGAACAAGTATATACGACTTTAAAATCAACCGGTAGCGGAGATGGCGATGTTACGATGATGTAGCGAAAAAAAAGCTTGTGGTCGCCCGTCGTCCCTTTTTAACTCCTTCGGTGTGGTGTGTAGTGTGTTTTCATGTGTGGGGTAATCGTGGTGGTAGGGTTGGTGTGGAATGTGTGTGGGATGATATGTGGAGTTACTCATTTAAATATCCCGGCCCACCTAGGCAAATATTTAGCCTAGCAAATTCTGCAGCTGTTGCAACGTTGCTACAACACTGCTGAGGCCAGTGGGGCGGCGGGATGATGGTCTGGGCCGTCGGCGCCGGGCAGGTGTTTCGTTCCTTGTATTCCTTGGACGATACTGTGGAGCGGCAGCTGGGCGTTGATGTTGTATCGGGTGGCTGGGCGGCGGTCGCCTGACAGCGCCGCGACTGCGTGGTGCGGGTGGTCGCCGAACGTCGCGCCTGGAGGTGCGGTGAAGGAACGTATGGTGTAGCCTTCCGCACAATTGACACGATCACTCCGAGTCACACTCTTGCGTCGTATGGGTGAGACTTAGGCAATTGAGGCAGTGTCCATGCGCCTGGGCTACCCGCTGACGTTGACTGGGTTGCATTGATTTAAAGATGCTAGAGTGCTGTAGCCGGTGTGAGCGGCGACACAGCGGACATCGGGTGCGGTGCGGCTCCGGTGGCATCAATGGCGACGCTGGTGGTGGTTGTGCTGTGTTCCGCGCGACAGCTGTGACAGTTGTTGCAGCGGTGGCTCGAGGCGCTGGAATCGGCCCAGTGCGTGGCACATTAATAGCCGATCGAACAGTTGGCGTTGGGGTTGTTGGCATTTCCACGTCCATATTAATCTATATAAAAAGATTGGATTTAGTATATGTTTGTGGCATATAATGGAATATGGGCAATTGTGCCACGTGGTGTGGCATGCGTGGGTCGGCATATTGATCGACCATTTCGGTTTGGTTTGGGATTGTTGTTAACGTTTTTTGTTTTTTTTTTATTTGCGGGTTTATTGACTTGATTTATTTGAATTGGATATCATTCGGTAGCTTCGGTAGTACGGTCGGTGGGCAGGAAGCATAGTTTTATGAGCGGTCTGGTTAGCGTTCCCGATTGCGTGCGGAGATCTACTATTCGGATATGACCGTCGAACCCGGAATGAAACTTTTTTATGCGCCATTCTGTGGGGGGAGACAATCATCATGGATTAGGACGCAATCTCTAAGCTTTGGCGCTTTTTCTGGAGTTTTCCATCGGTACCTCTTGTGGAGGTCCTTTAAATATTCTTCTTTCCATCGACGGCTAAAGTCATGATGGAGAATTTTGATTCATTCCCATCGATTTAATAAGGATAGCGACTCCACGCCTGGCTCAGGTATGGCCAGAATGGGTGTTCCTTTGAGAAAATGCCCTGGAGTTAGGGCTGTCAAATCTGAGGGATCTTGCGAGAGTGTCGTTAGTGGCCGTGAATTGAGAACGGCTTCGATACGGATTAGTAATGTTGTAAATTCTTCGTAATTGAATTTGTAATTTCCAGCTACTTTTTTGAAGTGGGACTTGAAGCTTTTTACCGCTGATTCCCATAAATCACCCATATGAGGAGCGCTTGGGGGGATGAATTGCCAATTAATGCCTTGGGGCGCGTACTTTTGTACAATCTCAGGTGAGACTTGTTTGATAAAGTCCACAAATTGTTTTTCGGTGGCTCTTTGAGCGCCGATAAATGTTTTACCATTATCGTTCATGAGCTTCGATGGAAAGCCGCGTCGACCGACGAAGCGAGCAAATGCCGCAAGAAAAGCCTTCTTCGTCAGATTAGTACAAAGCTCAAGGTGCACTGCTTTTGTCGTAAAACAGACGAAGTTGCAGCGTTCCGGGGGAAGTGCTGCCGTAATCTGTATTCTCATCTTTTGCTTGTGCGTGGTACAGATTTTGCACAAGAAAATGCACTTCTTTATTTGGGGCTTAAGTTGGGGAATGTAAAATTCCTGGCGGACCATATGTTGCATGAGACGATGTTCGGCATGAAGCATTAATATGTGGATATAATTGATGAGTAATGTGGCAAGTTGAGACTTCTCTGGTATAATTATGGGATGGCGTTCGTTAAACGTTAGGCTTGAATTGGCAAGCCGACCATTCACCCGAAACAGACCTTTCGTGTCTATGAATGGATTTAGTACTAAGAGTGAGCTCTTTTTATCAATCGGCTTCGATACTTTTAGTAATGATATTTTTCGGCTGAAGTAACGCGTTTGAGTAGATGTTGTAAGTCTAGGTGCGTAGATATTGTAAGTCTAGGTGCGTCACTGTATCGCATTGAGAATCTAATGAGGTGACTCCCTTAAGATTAATTTTGAGTCGCTCTATGAACTTGGGCATGTAAGCGATTACCCTGAGTGCTCGGCGATACGAGGAAAATCGCTCAAGGATGTCATTATCCTGCAATGTTGCGTGAAAGGAGTCGATTTTTCGACTTTCTGGGGCAATTATATTGCGCATGGGCGATTGTGGCCAAGAATCAGGAGATTTTGTTAACCATCGAGGGCCATTCCACCAGAGGGTGGTGGTGACAAGGTGCAGGGGTTTGCACCCTCTTGTACCTAGATCAGCAGGATAATCAGCACTGGCTACATGTCGCCAAGTGGCTTATCCTACTAGGTCAAGTATTTGAGAATTCGGTTGGAAATATACGTCTTCCATGCATGTGGTGGTTGTTCTAACCAGGCTAGTACAATTTCGGAATCGGACCATAGATATAATTTATATTGTGCCATGTTTAANAAAAAATTGACATCGCATGGCGGAATATAAAAGTAAGACAATTGTACCAAACCCCATGCGGTGCAAAAATTATCAGTCGCTAGGTCACACATTAAAATCATACAAGCGATCGCCAGCATGTGAAAATTTTTACCTACCACCTCACTTCCCTACGAAATGTACACATATTTTCTATGCTATTTCTTCAGACAAAAGAAATACTCAAAATCAAAGTAACAAAGAAATGCACAATGCGAGAAGCAATTAAGATTCATAGAAACTCAACTCCTTCTTTCTCAGAAAATTATCAAACATTCTCTTCCACAATTTCTCAAATCGAAAAAATTACGGAAACGCGCTCCAAATCCAGTACTACATCACAATCAGTAAATGATAAATCCACCTCTTCTCAAACACTAAAAACTAATAATCACTCAAATAATACATTCATTGCAGGTACAGCCCAAACCAGTCCTATAAATACACAAAAAAACTCTGAATCTAATTATAAAACTCAATTAGAACATCGAAACTCAACTGATTTAGAAATAAATAAAATCGCTATTCACCAACACAAATACACCTTTATTCCATTAAAACTCCAAAGAAACTCTCAAAAACTCGATTGTCACTCAATACCTGCTCAAATCACACCCACCTATCCAATAAATACATTCAATCATGTTTCAATTATTACCTCTTTTCTCTACACAATGGCAACACAAGATCTCAGCTCTAAAAATAGTAACTCTCTTGACCCTCCAAAACTACAACAACAACAGTAACGAGGGGAATATTCACATACACGTCTGTCACGTAGATGACACAACAATGTCAGGTGAAGAAATTTCAAGCGACACTACGAATATTAATGAAAACTATCTTTAGAAAATAAAACACAATTCAAAATAAAGAATTAAAAAAAAAAAATTATATACTATATATATATATTTTAAAATTACATTTTATCATACAAAAATTTTAAAATCTTGCATATTATAAACAATCAGATACAGCACCCTCCAGCTTATTTTAAGACCTATTCATAAGTCAAAATTACCGCTATTTTGCAATGGAATCTTAATGGATATTGTACCAATTTCCATGAGTTACAACTACTTATAAAATACACTAACCCTAGCATTGTACCGTTGCAAGAAACTCATTTGCCCTTCAATAGCACCACCACCCCACCCCACGCCTACGTAGCATACTGCCGTCTCTGCGATTCTACCACAGACAATCAAAGAGGAAATACATTAGAAGACGTGTTCTTAACGTCAAATTTGGCAGTCCTCAATGATGGCTCACCTACTCATTTCTCAACTCACCAAAGTTTCACAAATGTAGACGTAACATTTTGTTCAGCAAACATAGCACCAAAATGTTCATGGAAGATCCAAAAACTATCTCCATGGAAATGACCATTTCCCGATCATAATCTCTATTGAAGCTATCTTAAAGAAAGAAAAAATCATAAAAACTCCAAAGTTTAACACAGACAAAGCGAATTGGCCTCAATTTCAAGCTTGCTGCGATTTCATATCTTCGCAAATCCCCGTCTCTGAAAATATAAACAAAGAAGCAGCATGTACTCTCATCTCACTTCCATATACCCCTAGCAAAATACTTTACCCGTAAACCATCTGTACCTTGGTGAAATAAGAACATTTTACTACTTAGGAACAAAAAGCAGCAGGCTTGGGCTGAATTCAAAAAACACCGCACCGAAAGCAATTTGATGATTTATCAAAACGCAAAAGCTTTGTTTAGGTATCATTCCAAACAATCTAAAAGAGACGCCATTAACCCCTCCAAGGCAAATTTGGCATAACATAAGGTTACTAACATTCACAGCCAAGCAAAATCACATTTTAGTTATGAATACTACTCCAAAGATTCTAATTTTGAACAGGCATTCATCTCTGAAAAGAACACAGTAAACAGAAAAGTATATAGACCATATAATATCTCATCTGCTGCATCAGAGATTGAAAAGCCCATCACCTCTATGGAGTTTAAAGAAGCCTTGTATAGCTCAACAGGAAAAACACCTAGTTTTGACAGAATTTCCTATCAAATTATAAAAAATTGTTCACATGGCACTCAATAGATTACTAAATCTATATAATAATATTTTCGAGCAGGGCATATTTCCACAATCCTGGAAAAATGCTGACATCGTTCCAATTTTAAAGCCCGGTAAACCTCTCGCCGATATTTATATCTATCGTCCGATCTCCTTACTTTCATGTTTAAGTAAAGTATTAGAGAAGATTATCGCCAAACGATTAATGTGGTTTGCGCAAAGAGGAAACCATATAAGCCCTAACTAAGTAGCTTTTAAACCTGGTCAATGTACATCGGACGTGCTTTTACATTTCCGACACGTTCTTTCAACTGCCATCTCAAGTCGAAACCATGTTACTACACTTATACTAGACTTCGAAAGGGCTTTTGATCGAATAGGTATACACGTTGCTCTTCGCCAGCTAATAAAATGGAATGTCGGAAAAAATATATTTAATTTAAGAAGTTTCTTGTCAAATCGAACATTCAGAGTTAAAATTAATAATAAATATTCTGACAAAGTCCCTTTACCAAATGGTATTG